TGGGAACCAACAACCAAGAACCAAGGTAGGTTTTGGGGGGGGGGGGTACCATATATATATATATTTGTATGCATGTGGGTATATATCTATATATATATATATCTTTATAAATACTTATACATATATAGGTATATAGTTGTATGTAGATGTATATGGACATGTGTATGTATATATGCAGTATATATATTTCATGTGTCTCTGTATATGTACAAAATGTGCATGTAAAGAAACACAAACATATTCATTTATGCATATAACTCACATAACATACATTTGGGCTTAACATTTCCCTGAAGTTGCAGCTGGATCCCCAATTCATGCCACTCCCTAACTTCGAGCTCAGTGGTGTTCCTGGACCATTTGGTCCCCCCACAGTATGCTCAGATTGTCCTAGCCTCATTTTTTTCATCCTAAGCCCAAAATACCCTTGACCTTGTTAAGAGCCTTGGGCTCAATCCGCCGACGATCATCTTTGAGCGCGTGAAAGTCGAGGTGAGACGAGGCCCTGCCGCAACGCTTTTCAGGCAGGGAAGAGGAGCGGAGGGGTGTGAAGGGCCCTTCCCCCAGCGCAAAACCGAATCCCCAAGCAATGAATTGGTTCGAGCATGCTGTTGGAGGCGGGGTTCTGCAAGCTCCACCATCCGCAACTCCATGGCAGCATCATGTCGCGTAGCATTTGGCTGCCTTGAAGTTCCAAGAGACGAAAACAACTCTGTGGCAGTCGCCACATGTCCGCGGCGAGAGTGTTTGTGGCCAGTGGAAATTTTAGACGGACCTGGCGGCAGGACGGGCACATGGTGTGAACCACGCAAACTAGTGCGCATGATCCGGGGTGAGTGGCAAGTTAAAACGGCAACGGCACGACGGCCAAGAAAATCCAACAGCGCTGCATCGCGCTTCCCGCACTTGTCCACGAGGTGCTCAAAAATTGCAGCAGTTCGCAAACTGATTTGGGAAAACACATGCGACCGTGGGGGGGGCGGGGGGCAAGGTGCCACCACGACTGTGGGCGAGGCTAGTGAGGGCAGGCCGAACTTGAATCGTGTTTGGAAGTTGATTGAGCCAGAGCTGGCCCGAGAAATGCTGCACACAATACATACTATGGTTCCTGAAGTCTGATGAAATGTCTTTAAAATGCAGGGCCTATGCATTGAACGAGTGTAGGATTCTGAGGGCCTTTCTGCAAGATGCGGCGTAATTTGCAGATGCTGCCTGCTGCAGCATCTGCAAATTATGCCGCATCATGTGCTCGCCCCAGGCCCCCAAACTCCTACACCTGGCTGCAAGGCTTCACGGGCTCCACGTTTTAGCGCTGTAGGGGGCAAGGAGGAGAGGGTTTCCGTTTCCTCTGACAATCCAACACACCTCCAAAGGTCAGACGATAACATCTCAAATTCGCAAGTCGTAAACCCTGAAACGCCAGACCCTGAACCCTCTCAACCCTAAATCCCCTACTTAGAGATCCAAAACTCTCTGAAGCCAGGTCGCTGTGAGCCCTTCGGTATGCTTCGAGTCCGGCCCCCGCCAGGGAAAAAATTGAAGAAGTGTTTGTCAAATCATGGAAATGTTAGATTCTGCCAGCTGCTAGATGGCATTGCCGGGAATACTACGTACCTGCACTACTAAGAGGGTTTGTGCCGACTATCTGGGTTCTTGTCGGAGGTGATGTGCAACTTCATGAGCCTAGAGCCAGTGCTCCCCAGGTCTTTGTGGATGTTGGTGCTTTTTGACCGCACCTCAGACTTTGAACTGGAGGGTTTCAACTTGGTACGGGATTCCAGGATTGCACTGTTTGGATCTTCTTTGTTTGTAGCGCGGCTCTGTGAATTCTCAAGGCTGTTCAGCCTTGTCCAAGTCCTAAAGCTTGCACATACCTCGGGTTGAAAGTTTTCAAAGGTGAGCGCTGCTATTCAATCTGTTTGTCTCTGTGGGGTGTAGCGCTGAAACCCTGAAGGGTGTTGATTCAGAAGAGTAGATGCTTCATCGCTCCAGCACTTCAAAGAACAGTTCCATCTCATCCCATCCCATCCCATGTGATTACCGTTGCCGCAGCTTTTTCTGAATATGGTTGTGCCATGAGCTGTTATTCATGACCCATGACCTTACATGACGTGCGTCATGTGTGTTGACTGTTGCTGTTGCTGATTGCTGAGGCCACGAACACGAGTGCCTCACTAAGCTTCTTCTTGCAGAAGCAGCCAGGACCAGGAAGTGTGCAGGCCAGCTCGAAGAAAGCATGCTCGGGCTTGGGGTTCTACCAGTACATAAAGAGGTGCGCATCAGTTTTGTGAGAGCCTGGCACGAGGACCCTGCAAAGTCGCTGCACTTGCAATTCTATCCGGGGTGCCTTCTCCGCATTGCTTCAGCCTTCTAACTGCGAGGCCGCAATGCGCGCATCCTGGTGCATGCGCTGGAGCCGAATGCCAGAAACTTTCGACGGACGCAGGTCAAACTTCTTTTCTTGTAATGCTGATGCTGACTGTGCAAGTTGAATGCTGTGACGGGCCACTGACTTCAGCGGAGGACTCCGCGCTTCCATTTCAAATCTGAAGATTCTCCGGTTTTGGGAGATTTCGGAAGGTGTAACGTGCAAAGCTACAACCTTCTACTGAAGCCCTGCCGGTGTAGGAGCAGAGATCTTCGAGTTGAGGGTACTTTCAGAGAAGCATTCAGGGATATTTACCTTCCTCTGCTGTCCAGGCAGCCTGTAGCTCCCCAGAGCGTAGTATTCTATTTGGGGATGCTATGGTACCCGATTATCTGAGAAAACGGAATATAATCCTACTAGGTTCAACCACCAACAAAACGGCACTCAATGAGATTCTGAGAGGCGCGGCTGCGGTTTCTGCCTTCTCGCTGGATCCGACATCTGCGACTGCGGAGGGCTGCGGCCGGCAATGCCACGCAGCAGGCCGAAGGGGAAGGTGTTGGTTTCCCAAAAATGCGGGGTGCCCTTGAAAGGGGATATAGGAGTTCTATAGGGTTATATGGGGTTATATAGGGTTATATGGGGTTATATAGGGTTTAGGGTTCCAAAATTAGGGGTATCCTTTTGGGAATCCCCATAATAAGGATTATCGTATTTTCGGGTCTATATTTGGGTCCCCTATTTTGGGAAACTACTAGGTGTTGTAGCTTGAGAGTTCTGCGGCGATCGGGGTTTTCAAGCTCAAAGGGCTCCGTGGAAAGAATGTCTACGATCCTTTCACAAAGTTTCAAAGAAGATTTATATGCTTCATTATTTCCTGAAGAGTGCTGAGATGAAAGCAGAAGAGACGCCATTCTCTTCCTTTCCCTCCTGCCATCCTGTTTTGCTGTTATTCAATTTTAAGTTAGCATAATGGGTATATATATATATAATATAACAAGTAATATGGTTCCCCGGTTCCCCCAACACAGGATCTTAAATTAAGTTCCTGAACAGCAACCCAGCATCACCCCCACAGATGCATACAGCTTGTGAACAAGAGGGGCCTCCCTTGTAGGGACTACCATAAGGTTCTATTCCTTCATCCCCAGCTAACCAAAGGCCCGTCAATCTTGGCTTGGCCTGGCTTTGGTTGCCTTGCCATGAGCCTCAGCTTTCGCACTGTTTCTGGGTCCAAGAAAACAGCTAGGGAAACAGAGTTCACAAGACTGTCAAGAGCTTGAGGATCCCCCTGAGACTGCTTGTGCAGGCTACTCTTCACGGCGCAGGGGCAAAGGCCTCCTTGAAGGCTGAGAGTTTTGCCAAAGATGTTTGAATCTTACTGTGGCTCTGCTCGCTCACGATTTCATTTGCAACAATGCTACAGTGTGGCTGCATCTTGAGGCCGTACTTTGATGACGAACCAGATCAGCGGCTGAACGTAGCAGCATGACAGCCTCCAACATCAGCCCTAAACCCTAAACCCTAAAACCTAAACCCTCAACTGTGTGGCTGCGTAAGCCAATTGCCTGCAGGCTGCTGCCTATGGTGGGGAGCTTATCAACTCACGAGGGGTATAGGGGGTATCGTCTTTGGCTCGTTTTAGAGTTTGGGCTGCGTTGGTTTGCCCAGAGCCCCGGAAGTCATGGATGCCTTGTGAAGTGAACCTACGGGGGATCCTTGCAAAACTGATGCCGTACTACCAAAGCTGTGTGACCAAACTAGGGAGCAAGGGTTTCACTTCTCTACACCTCTACGTGTTGCTGTTAAGGAACTTGTTTGAAGTTACTATACTGGGGAAACCATATTAAATTCTTTATATGCCCATTATGGTAGCTTAATTCAAGTTCCTTGACAGAAGAAACCCAGTCTATGGGAGGCCATCCTTCTTGAGCTTGCTCTAAGGCGGGCTAACCTGGGAATACCAGCCCGGGAATGGGGAGATGACCTCAAGGGCGGACACGCACGCTGAGCAGGCTTTTCAGGGACACCATGCGGGACCTTTCTGTGATTTGAGGGAAGTTGAGGACTTAGGATTTAGGGTTTAGGGTTTTAGGAGTTCCTGCCGATTGCGTGGGCTTTGGAGGATCTGATCTTGCAGTTGGTCATGGGACCCGTTCGGCTTTTTGCAGCTGCTTCTGGTACTAGCAGTCGAAAGACGCTCGTCTACATACCCGTCACAATACACTGTCCTGGGTGGACATGGTTTGTCGCAGGATTTAGTCCGACCCGACATGTAAGGAAGCAACGCGTAGTCTTATATAAGGCTCATGTGATTCGATATTTTTCAGTGGTCCGTTTAGTCGAAAGATTTAGAGTAGAGACTGGAGAGATCCTGACATTCCACCTGAAGAACATCAGGAGGCATTTAGTCCTGGTATCAGAGACAGTTGAATGCAACAAGAACGAAATGGTAAACCTGCCAAACTGCTTCGGTTTGTGCCCTGCAGGGCCATTGCATGTTGAACACTAAAGAATGGCGGAAGAAGCGTCTCGTGAGAAATTCTGCCGAAAGGTGCCCGTGGTGCGCCTTGATCATTGGGCATCTTGTTGGCAGTTATGTAGCTATCCGGCTTGTGTTACGGGGCCTAAGATCCTCAGACATTGAGCCTCATGTAGTAGAGGGGCATGTGTCCAGGTGTGAACGACTTGAAACGGCACCACCGAACAACAGTTACCGCCCCAAGCATTGCGGTGGGATTTCGCAAGTAGTCAAGACTGCACCTGCTTTGATATGCTTTGCAATCCCTGCCTGAAGAATGCACCCCTTGCTTAACGGGCGGTGCCTCTACCTTGCCGACTATTGCCTAATTGGATCTGGCCTGAAACGCAATTTAGATAAGGAAATGATGTCTTCAGAGCAAAGCATTGTGTCTGGAAAAGGGTCAGGCCTCAAAACAGGGACCCGAAGCTTGACTTGCACGGCCTGAGAGACTGCCGCCAAGGTTGGACGGCATTTGGGGGTGCAAGGACGAGTAGAGGCCTGGACGTCTGAGAGTTTTCCGGTCTAAGACGGGTGGGAGGCTTCCAGGACTTGTGCCAAGGCATTCCTTGACTTGGTGTGCTGTGGTTCTTGAGGAAGTTTTGCATTGGAAGGTTCTGAAGATCGACGTGGAGGGTGGGGAGTGGGAGGTGCTGCAGGGAGCTGAGCCGCTGCTCACCGCACAGCGTGTGCTCTGCGTGGTGCTGGAGTACTCCCACTTCTGGACCAGTGTCACCTTGAAGACGTTGTCTCGGTGGATGTCAGACAAAGGCTACGATGGTTACCTTCTGGGAAGCCAGCACTTGATCCCTGTGAGTGGTGCGGAGATGGAGTGGTGGCATGAGCTCTACGAGGTTTGCGCACAGCCTGACTTGCGCATCTACCGTGGCCTGGCGGGGTGGTGCTGGCTCAATGCAGCCTTTGTCCTGCGACGCTCAAGGCTGGGAACGCTGGCAGCCCAGTGGGTCCCACGCGTGGGCGCAGGTGAAAAGTTGGAGTTTGGACTGCCAGCCATGAGCTATGAGAGTCTGGGATTAAGATGCAAGTTTTTTGGCCTGGCTTATGATCCTTCAGAAGACCTCTTGAAGCTTTGCCCTGCCTCCCTTGCCTTGCGATTGCCTAGCACGTGGAGAAAGCTCGAGCGCTGTCAGCAGCGACCAGACCATGAAAAACTCTGCAGTATGCGTGTATTGACATCACTGAAAAGCTGTACAGCTTCCACCCTTTCAAACTGCAACCAGTGTAAGATTGGTGAAAAGGTCATCATCAGCTCAGACACCATGATCGACAAGTAGCTGCAGGTAGCTGCAGGATGCTGCAGGTAGCAAAGGGAGAGTCCCTTGGTGACAAAAAGACCTGCTCAGCCATGGCATGCAGCCCGCGCATGTCGCTGTTCCAGGCGGAACTCGGGTTGCAGGGAGCCTACCAGGGTATCATCAGACGCGTTGCCCGGGGATATGGCTTTGCAATACTTGCCTCTGGCCTCGCCGTGCCCTTTGAACCTCTCATTGCCCCGAGTGCGGGCACAGAGATGTAATGCGCAATTGTTTGGGGTAGCGCTTCCCGAACTGCTTTCGGTGGGACTTCGGTGTTCGCCTGTAGTTTTCATTGGGGATGAATGGAACCAGCAATGACGGCATGTGCAGGATGATTGTCGTTCGTGTGTCCTGGTGTAATTGAACAACTGGCGACAGAACACTGCTGCAATTTGCATCCTTATTGCTGGCTTGGGGAACCCTATTTTTTAAAGAAGCTATCTAACTTAATTTTTCGAATTCCTGGCTCGGGATTGACACGCCCTTTCACTTGAGCCAGGATCCGGAGGATTCCTGCAGCGACGGCGAGGTCTTCAAGCCTTTGTCAGGGACTCTTGTTATCCTAGGCTCAGGGCCCCTTTCAATACCGCTGGGGACCATGTACATTTTTTGCAAAAAAAAGGTTGCCCTGGGATGCGGCTTGATTTACCTTTAATAGCCTCCTTTCAAGGATGCATGTTGATGCTGTGACCATGGTGCTTCTCGTCGGCTGTCTCAGTCATGACACAGAGAGCTTGAACGCTTGCCCAATGCATTGGTTGATCCAGCTGACCCTGAAAAGACTCCCTCCCTTGGCACTCTTTTCCATGGAGCTGCTTGGCAGGAAGAGGTCAGTCCCTGGAGTTTGTGGTGTGAGGAAGCTGAGCAGGTTTCCAAGTCTCGTTTGTGAGGTGTGTGCCTTGCAGTTGCGCAAGAATGGAAAGTGAGTTTGGCATAGGTTCTTGCAATATAATCAATTTGACCATACTGTGCGCACCTTGAACCTGAACCTCACGCTGTAAGGAATCGAGCTGGCAACTCACCAGAAAACTGCAATTGCTGTGCAATGCGAAGCCTGTCCGAATTCAACATCCTTTCTTCTGCACATTGTGCAAGCATGCATGAAGTTGACATGCTTGGCTACCTGAATTTAGATGTTGCAAATTGCGTGAAACTCTGCACTTACGACGAAGATCCCTGCTGCTAACAGAAAGGCCTAACGTGACGCATTTTTACGTAAACATTTTTTGGGCCTTATGCTTCAACCCTGCAATCCTCAGCCAATGGGCCGCTTTGAGCCAAGACTCCCCAGAGCCTCTACCGAGCCAGGGAGTTTGGCCTCGGGACTTCAGCTTCCTCCTCCGCAGCCGCAGCCGCAGCCCCCGGCGCAGCCCCCGGCGCAGCCCCAAGGGCGGCGAGGTGCGAACAGTCTCCATGCGAAGCTAAATGGGTTTTGGGAATAATAAAACTAGTAACAATAATGGTTGTAATAATAGTAGTAATAACAGTAAGAAAGGGAATAACGGTAGTAATGAGTGTTTCAGGTTTTGGATCAAATTCAGGGCTTGCAGATGTTCAGTGTTCAGGATGCAGGCTTACGACTTCAGCCAGTGTATCGAGGTCCCGAGCATCCCAAATTCTACATTGGGGTTATATTAGGAGCATATTGGGGTTATATGGGGGATGATGGAAAAGAGAATGGAAACAACTTTATATGGTTGTGTGTTACTTCAAAAGCTACTTGGTGAATGATGAGAGCACACTTGGGATTTGGATAGATTTTGTACCTCATCAGGCGTGGACTAAGTGACTCAACACTCATTACTACCATTACTATCACTATTACTATTATAACTACTTTTATTATTATTATTACTATTACTACAACTATTATTGTTACTAGTTTTGTTATTTCCGTAATTGGTTCGGCCTCCTTCATCTGAGCTAAGATGACTGGATGATTTCCTGATCCTCTAGGGAATACATTGGGGCTATATAGGGTTGTATAGGGTTATATTGAGGATATATTGGGATAATGGAAAAGAAAATGGAAACTGCTATATTACGACGTCATAAACTTCAGATATGGCTGGAATGGGGCAAGACGGTTTGCAGGCTTTTAAGCTCAGCATAAGGGCAATCTCGAGCGATAAAGCTTTTCCTTGAGTTCCAATTTTTTGAGCTCTAAAGCGGTTGCCTCTGGAGACCGGAAACATGCGGACGCATAATACACAAGCCATGCGGAAACCTGTCGGCTGAAGGTATCCATTCTTGAAACTTTAACTAGGCTTTCCGTCAAAGAACTGCAACAATCGTCGGAAACCCCAGAGGATTGGCGCATACTCTGTTTTCATGGTGTATTTGGGAAGTCTAGGTAGACGGTCAGGATCCTGTCCACTTTGGATCGCCTTCTCGGCCCGCGACACATGAGGAGCCGGAGAGGCTTCCCTGCAGGGGGTCTCCATGCATGTTGCCATGAATGTGCCTTCTGGAAGAAGACAATACCTATTTGTCTCTGAAGGAAGGCTCTCGACTTCTTTGAGTAAGGGGAATGTTTGACAAAAGCCAACCTACAGGGCCAGGCAGCAGCCTTAGAACAAGACACAGTAAATGACCCTGAACTGCGAGTCTGAATTGTTGAGGGAGTGCACCGCGCAGGGCTGAGGCAACAGAAGAGGTACTCACAATCGCATACGCGTAGGCTTAGTATACATGACGCTCTGTAGATCTGCTACATCTGAATCATAGCTGCAGACTATGTAGGGCATACTTACTGCCGTGCTTGGCTGACCCTTATGATCCAGTGCGCCAGCCTCGCTCTGAACGTGATGCGTTGTAGGCGTCAGGCTTTGACAAGCAAGCGCCACAGAGACTTGTGCAAACAGTGTATGTACAACGGAGGGTAACGACCACTTCCCCTGAGCACCCCAGCATATGCATACACATGGATGGGACAGCAAGCGGGCGTGCAATTTTCCCGAACATCCTAGAGTCCTTGACAACATTTTACGGAACATACTCTTTGCTTGCGCTGGAAAAAACGTTGCAGGCAATCCCCGTCGCTTCCTTGGACTACTCCTGCAGCACGCTCGGTGTACAATGCGCCTTTTAGCTAGGGTGGTGTCTTCAAGGACACTGTTCAAAGTGTTGTGCAGGGTTTTCTTTTGTTTGACACTGTCAACTTGTCTTGTAAGCCAAACCTTCAATTCGTCAGGCCGAAGCCCTAGGAAAACGTAGTCGGGGGGTTTGCCAGATCCTCGTTGAAACGAATTGCTATGGAACTTGTACGGCAGGCCGACCGGGCCAAGGCAGACATGTGAACGCTGGACGTTTTGCCTGCAGCAGGGCAGGTAGTGACAGGTAGTTTGCACAGGGTGGATCTTCTTCGCAGTGACCGCAGTGCGGCAATGGCGCGGACAGCGCTTGCCTTCCAGGGCCTCAGCTTCATGCCGGCACCTAGGAAGCCAGTCGACGAGACTCAGCTCGGGGAAGATCCGCCCCCTCATTTTCAGGATACGCCAATTCGGCCCTTTCCCAGACTCCTTAGCGATAATGCCGATGCTGCAGATGAGAGTCCATCACGGCGCAGTTGTGTGGAGTCGAAGGGCTTTGAGGGCATAGGAGTGTCTTCACTTGCATCGCGTAAGTCCTTCTTCTCAGAGAACCTGCCGGACAAGTCTGCTGGCAAAACGAGATTCCCTCCGAACCGGATCTTGCACAACCGCCATGCTGCTCGAATGGAGAGTATGCTCCAGGACCACTAGCTAAGCGGCTTGCAATCCTCAAGGAAGGCATTTCTCGATTGATTGCTTCTTTTAAGCCCACAAGTCTGTAGCAGGATCTTGCAATGATGACCGGAAAGTTGAACTTCAAGAAGGAGGTAGCTCGACGCCGGGAGCTCAGCGCACCGCGGGAGGCACGGGGCTTCCCGTGGAATCAGTGAGTGGCCGATGCGAGCTTTGCAAAGCCTCATGGCTCATTGGTGTGATGAAGTTGGTTGTTGGGTAGATTCACGTACATTGCTTATGCCAACGTCTGTTTAATTGCACCAATGGCCACAGGATGTTCTTTCGGACGTTCCTTGAAACCCCTGCGTTGATGCATAAGGTGGCCATGTCTGCCGTTTGTCGGATGCACGGCTCGTTGACGGGGTGTTAGATTTGATATGGTTTGACGCTTGGGCAGCCGGAGGATGCTGGAGTCATTCAGAGGGGATGGCCTTGGTGCAGTAAGTGGCACGCGGTAGACATGACAACACGCAGGGCCGGAATGTTTCGGACAATTGTACAGAATTTCACCTCCAGACGACCCTTCCGGTGGTGGAGCAACGTCGTTGCGGATGCGCGCAGGGGACAAGGTTGGAGCGCTTGACGAGGGCCAGCACTGATGTCGGCACAGCACATGCCGCGGCTGTGAAGACCATTTTAGGAGCCATACCTCGCAATGGCGAGATGGCCTTGTGGCACTCGTGGTGATCAAGTCGAGCGTCTCCTTCTTTGCTTTGGTACAGTTTTTTTCTTCGCAGTTTCTGCCCAACCGGAATTTGCCCAGAGGTTGTAGGTTCGCGACCTCTGGGCAGGTCAAGCGCTTGGTGGCTCTCAGAAGCAATTACCTAGTATGTTTGCAACATATCATAACATATCCCCATGGAACACTTGTCGTTTTCTGAGGGCCACATTTTTGCTGTGCCAGGGTCTTAGATGACCTGTGGCTTGGAAGGTCATATCCATGTCAACGCTATGGCGCCGCAACGTGCCCAGGTTCTGATGAAAGGATCCAGGTGTTAGAGTGTTAGAGCTTCTTTTCTTGGACTACACAGTTGCACTCTGCTGCTTGCTCGGTTTGGGCGTTATGCCATGCTGTTGAGGAGCTTCCTTCCTTGATTATAGTCCCCCTTAAGTAGATAGAATATGGCTTTAGGTAGATTCTAACAAGATCCCCAAATACCCCATGTTTCATCTACTTTAGGGGAAAATATTATCCAGTCGGGGCGCGCTGTCATAGCACGGCGCTGCCATTGAATTGATACCTTCATTTTGCTTTCGCGGCACCTCTGCCACAGTGCACTGTAGCCTTGCAGGCCAGACAAGTTGTTGTTGAAATTCATGGAACCAAGTACCAGGGCAGACTTACCCCCTTCTCTGGGCTAATCTCACTAAAAGTCAGGGCTTGGAAATGATGTGGAAGTCTTGGTTCCAAGGTGCCAGCCTACTATGCTACAGTAGAATCGACAGTAGAACAGAAATCTTTGGTGCTTTGAGGGCAAGGAACGTGGGCTGTCAGGTCATCCATGGCAGAATACTATGTGACAATTGCAGATGCATCCGCCAAGCAACCTACTCATGGGACCGCGCCCCGATCTGCCCTTCATACTTAGCTTTGGAAAGCAGGTGCCGGAAAATCATGGATCTTGCACATCTTTAGCAAGCGGAGGAATGCCTGTTCACAAGTGTGAAGGATGGGCGTGCGTATATCGAGGTGAGGCCTCCCTAACACACTCCAACTTCATGGGACCACTGCTGTGAATGCTACAAGACTGGGCTGAGAATTCAGAGAACATGCCTTGTAGGTGCGAATGCTTGTGCTTCTTGAAGAGCACCTAGAGTAGTTCCCCAAGTGCAGAGAGATTTTGTTGCTAGGCGTCCTTGCGTTGCGCTTGCACTCAGGAGCCAAAAGTAACCTCCGTTTTGATAGTGAGCCTATGTGAGCTATAGTCCAAACTTCGTGAAAGGAGTTTAGACTATAGCTCATATGAAGCCCGCCTAGGGCTTGCATTCTGTCTTTTCTTTTGCGCAGATTGCTGTTCTAATTGAGAATCAAGCGGAAATCAAACGGAACATGAAATGGAAACTCCTTCGGTTATTGAGGAAGTTGCTGCTGAGCCCTGCTGCTAGTATTGCCGATGCCAATGCAACGAGCACTGGCAGTACTTGGTGATTAGCGCCACCAGCGATGATGAAGATGATAGTGATAACCACGATGACAAACGACCATGATCTCGAGTGCTTTCCGGAGTTTGCGTCCAGAGAGTCTCACTGGACACTCTGCATCAATTAGATTGCGCAAGAGCTTCCTCGGGCAGTTCTTCACGTTTCGCATCACCTCTTATGAGATTCGCATTGTGGGTGCCCAAGCCCAGTAGCTTGCCAAAGGCTACCTCCCTGCGGCTGGAGCCCTTCAGCAGAATCCAGGCAAGCCTAAGGTGAAAGTTCCAGGCTGAGTCAGGATTCCAGTGGACTTGGGGTTCGGGAAGCAGCGCGTCTGGAACTTGGGTAGGCCGATTTGCGGGTTCATGAGTGTTATGCAGTTCTGGTATATCTGGCAAAGCATAAACTTCCCATGCTGGCCTCATGTAAGTTTTGTAATTTGCTTATCTGTCCCAAGAGACATTAAAGGGGCACGCCACCAGACCATGCTGTCCAGCACCCAGCCTGTAGTTGGTCAACGCCGTTTCATCCCGTACTTGTTGAAGCGTGAAGATCGAATTGGCCAGGACCAGGCTAAGTCCACCCTCTCGACAGCGCCGCTGGACAAGACCTGCGCCTTGGATGAAATATGGAGTCAAGCTCAGCGGCATGTGCAGCCTTGCGATAGCAGAAGGCCTTCAATAGCAGTATCCTCGGCACACCTTGCCCCGCCTGCAGAGGGCATTCTCGCCCTGAACCATGAGCATGCGCTTTCAGATCTCTCAGGGAGAGACGAGACCTCGACGCCTGCAGTCCGCGCCAGGTCCCCAGAATTCACACTGGCAAGTTTCATCTCGAAGTCTCTTCCACCGCTTTGCTATGAATTCTTCTCATGACGACCGTGGAGGTTGGGTGTCGTCATAGCCAAGCAACGAGAAAACTGCGGCGGCAAACAGGTCTAATCAAAGGCTAAGTGGAACTCAACTGGTTCCCTGAGCAACTTTTGTTGCCAGCCTGCTAGGGCAATGCACAGCCGTCAGAAGCGTGATGAATCGTTAATGCGACGAACATTCTCAGTTCCATTGTGGATGTTCAAGGTTCCCGAACAATCAGCATTGCTACATCAGTATGCACCTTATAACTATTTCTGCGGATTGTTGGACTCAGGTTTCAACTATTCGGAGGGCTGTGGCGTTTGAACTTGAGTAATCTTGAATAGGCTGCGTGTGACAAATAGCTTCCACTCACAGAACCCGACTGGATCCTGGCAATGTTGTACGTTCTGGGAGATTGACATTGAGTTTTTGCATTTGTGCTGCATGGTCCCCCGCACAGCCAGGCATTTGGCGAAGGCCGCGAACAGAAAGCCTTCCAAGCCAGTCTAGGCGGAAGTCAGCTGTCGTGCAAGGCATAGGGCTTCAGACCCTGGATGGAGGAACTCTCCATGCCAGTCCTTGGCTAAATCTAACTTTTAGATGCTTGCTCTGTTGGAGATATTGACGTTGAATCCCGTGCCAAACTCAC